ACACGCTTGCACTGATGACCAAGTGTACTTTGCATATGCAACACAATTAGCGCTACACTCAGCAGCTTTATTTCTCATGCATGCGGTAATTATGATTTAATAGGGCTTCATAATGTTCTCTCTAATTACTGATTATATCTTTTTGTATACTTTTATATGCATGTATACATTTATATATTTTCAAACAGTTGTCACTGATGTACTCAGACAAAATCTGAGGATGAAAGGAGGATGCTAGAAGAAGAAACCAACCCACAGAGGGGGTCAATGCCCACCTGTTGATGGAGCAGCGATTGTGAGAGCAGTGAGCCTGCCCCCCGCCACGCAGCAATCCGGGATGGGGCTCCCAGATGGGGCGAACAACCCTCCTTGGCACACGTGGCCACCAACAGCCATTCTCCAGCCGTTTTCAGCCTGCGGGCCCCTACGCATCCTTCCAGGGAGGCTCAGACCCTACTAGAAATGTCACGTTTCTACAAATTCCCCTGCCTGCATGTATTTTTCCTTGCTGGGTGAGGGAACTGAGTCTGCTCACGGAGGGATTGGTCAAACCCCAAGGCCAGGACAAAGTATGAAGTGGGAGCTGGTAGGGTGAGGGGGGTGAAATCTGGAGGAAAAGAGTAAGATCCTGGAGGATGAGCCCATCCCTGTCTTGTATAACTTCATCTTCAGCCACTTTCCACATCCTCCTTGGGTAAGAAGTTGAAAAGCACTGGTACACAGGGACGGTAACTATTCGATCAGTGACCACTGCCTGCATGGGGTCTTTAACACCCACAGAAATCAATGGCAACATCTTTTGACCTCAGCCTCTGTCAGACTATGCCTGCAGCAGTAATGGAGGCATAAATACAAGGAGCAATAAATGGGCAAACTATTAATTATGAACAAGCACAAAATCTTTCTCATGTATTCTTTGTGAAATTAGCAGTGAATGCAGTTAGCTGGGTGCCTAACCAAGCACAAGACGGTACATGCACGGTGATTCCTCACTGCAAAAGCCGTTTACTTTCATGAGGACGTGCAGGAGCGTGTTACCACCCACTTTACATACATTATTGGAAACTTCTGCCCTAAATGACTGCATGTGAATTTCGGTTCAAAAGAAAAACTAAAACACGCCTCAAACACTACCTAGATTACGAAGGAGAAGGTATATAAAATCAGTCAGTAACTTATAGCTCGTATTTTACCCTTATCTCTATTATTATCAGACCTTCCTCACTTTTAGCTCTGGCCAAAATTAAGTTTATGACTTTCGATTTATGTGGCAAGAAGAGATGAACTGGTGGTGTACAGCCTAGCAGCATGGCATGGGAAGGACAGGGTGACAGCCAGCAAACAGAAACACCAGGAAAGGCAATAAGTTATCTGAAGTGGTACAAAAGGGACAGAAAAATAAATTGCAACGGGAAATTTTGCACCAAAGAATGTATTTCTTGAGATTGGAGTCCATGGTATTTGACTGTGGAAGACTCCTAAAGGAAATGGTGCTCTGTTTTGAGGAACTGAAGAATCAAAAAAACCATGTAGAGCATGGAGAGGACGCCGGGATGCTGCACAGCCAGGAAAACATCCAGACTGCTCTACCCGATCTCCAGCTCTGAAACTGAGAACTCACCATAGAGTACTTTAATCATGAAGAATAAGAAAGAAGCCGTTTGCAAAGTCTCGAACAGCTTTCAGCCTAAATGTCTCTGCAAATTAATACACTTTGTAGGGAAAAAACAGTCAAACGTGCTGTTTATTCTAAGCACTTTACTCATTAACCCGGTACCTTACATGCTCTCTTTGTAATGCAAATTTGCTAAAATACTATGCTTTCCATAAAACTTACATATAGACAAGCTCACACTGCTCAAATACCAATTTTAATGGTATTTAATGGAGCAAAAATACACTAAATTTTTCTTAATACTTGAGCTCTGCACCTAAGTCTTATCTGCATAAGCAGTTTGTGAGAAACCTTCTGCTGCTGCAGCCACCGTAGCACAAAGGTGGAAGATTTCCCAAAGCAGCTGATGTAGGCAATTATAACTGAATTACCACCTGCACAAGCCAAATGAAAAGACTTTGTAGAAGGTACCTACAGCAGAGATTTTTCTGAGGAAGAGAGATCATTACAGAGAGGAGGGGAGAGGAGATACCTTGCATTTAAGGAGGACGAACATTGCACATACTGTACCTGCTTGCCAAGCTCCTATTTAATAGCCACCTGCCCAACCACGCAGTGTATCACCACGAGGGTTTGCTGGGAATCCTCAGCACGTAGCACCAAGCACCTGGTTTGCAACCGCTGCACTGATTGCACATAATACACCCATCCAACAACACGTGGAGACCAGAGGAGATCGAAAATCATCTCGACTAAGGTCTCCAGTCCAATCTGACCCAGATGGTCCATGCAGCGGAAGATGACTCAGGGTTGGAGAGGGCTGAGGGAAGGGAAAGGTTCCTGGTTTATGACTTACACAGCTGTGGAGAAGGACCAAAACATCACCTTAAGGGTGCAATGTTATGATGACTCTCTCCCTTCTCCAATGGATTTAGGTGTTGGAACATGAAATACCATAGCAAACCTATGGACAGCTGAGATTTACAATATAAATTGCACTAAACTGAAAACAAGTACACAGGATAAATTCAGGAAATTTTATGATCTTTCTCTCTTCCCTCCACAGGTACTAACTACTTTTGTTTCAAGGTGATCTATAATTGTACTGTCTGAAATTAAACTCTAAGCAACTACTCTCATCTTATATTTACTTTTGAAAACTGCCGCTTCTTTTTCAGACTTGAAGAAGGGCTCAGAAACCTGGAAATTGTCTAATTTTTAACAACTATACCACTTGGCCTGATAGAAGAAGATACTACCTCCAGGTACAAACCTTTCCCAGATTTCCCAGAGCTATGAGGCAGAAGTCAAGACTTTATTGCCTGAGGTGCCAGAAACATCTACGCTAGTTTTCATTGGGGTTCAGAGCTAAGATGCACAAGTGACCAATGGGAGGCATCTTAACAAGAGGTTTTCTTCACTCTGCAAGTGAAACTGCAAGCCGGGTGTACTTCCCAGCCTGTCTGCTCGACCTGGTTCCCAATCATCCAAAACACATCGAGGCTCTGTTACGGCTCCTATACTCAGATGACTTCTCGAAGGAAACCAGGTCCTCAGGGGATGACGCACACACACACCGAGATGCATCCACACCACACAGGCACCACGTGGCAAGGGCTCAGAGATTGGAAACTGCACCCCAGCATGACTACCCCACAGTACAGTCATAACCAAAGTGAATCTGACTTAACATGAAACCTTTAAATGATGAAAAAAAATTAGCAGAATCACTGGGGGAAGAAAAAAAAAAAGAAGTTTGAGGCACTATCTACAATCAAAATAAACCCAAAGACAGTGATTCAGCATATGAGCTTCATAACTTATTAAGAAAATAAGTACTTGTTCAAACACCCGCAATGATTTCTCAGATGCATTAAAAGAGAATGAACCTACTGAAACCTACTTGGTTTTGAAATTCAGTTCACTTGGCACATCCTCCACCTTTGAAAAAAAACAAACAGCAAATGCAGACATGCCATAGCATGAGCAGCCATGCGCTCTCCTGCCCACCTGCCTGAAGCCCGACTCATACCTGGCCAGACCAGCTCAGTTTCATCTCTAAGCTCAGTCCTCAGCCTGTCCATTAAAATGGTCAATAGCGATGCCAGCTGAGAAACGTCCATCACTGGGAACTCATTTTTACAGGTCATTGGCTAGCCAGACAACAACAGCTTCTAGCCATTACTGACCGCCCTCTAACATGAATCGCTGATTTCCAGGAGAAAGAGAAGCCACGAGCCATCCATTTTTTTAATCATAATTAAAACCAAAACCACTCCACTGTTTCTATATGATTTCATTTGTACAAAATATAAACGTGCAATCGTCCTGCTATGTTTCTGGAATATGAACACTAACATAGTAAGAATCTGAATGCATTCAGTTCATCTATTCAGGCAGGGAGGATCTCATTATAAATAGGTGCTGTTGAACAGAAATTAGCATCAGAACAGTTTGGATAACAAAATGTTCTTCTGCATCAACCCCCAAGTAAGCTGACAAAACAGATTCGGACAGGTGTGTCTTATGATGGAAAAATTAACTGTGATAAAGAAAAGAATAAAATGCCCTTTAGATATGTTCCGTTCTCGGAGTCATTAAGATGCAAAAGGAATTACAAAACCCGCCATCTCCATAAAGCTCAAGCACACATAAGAAAAAGCAAACAAACCTGCCTGGATGACTGGCTGTTTGCAGTATTGTCTGACTTAACGACTCTGGAAAAATTGGCTTCCTGAGTTGATCAGTCCTGCTCCCACTGTACTATACAGGGCTATATGTTACAAATAGATCTGGAGTTTTAAGAAAAATGGAACAAAACCACCAAAACACCCCCCAAAGCTGGTATCAAAGAAAAAAAGCATACAACCAGTTATTTCCTCTTACAAACATATTAAATATTTGCCATTTGCAAAGATTCACAATCAGAGAGACAGACTGTATCGTGTTTGACTCCAGTAAAATGTCTCCTGAGAAAGTCTGCCTTGATCTAAAATTCTCATACTTGGGTTTTAATTCCCAGTCATATTTACAGGAATTTGCTTCCTCCGATTTCCTAATTGAGACTGCATGGCTTGAAATATGCCCATCAGCTATCATATAACTGCAAATCTACTCGACTAGGAGATACACATTCTCAGGCTTCAGAAAATAACAGCACTCCAGATTTTCCTGCAGGTTCCGCAGGAGCAGATGCCAACGACCAACATCAACAACCACGACCACTGGTCCCATCCAGCCTCACAGCTCCCGTACCTCCATCTTACAGTGATTCACAGAATAGCTACCACAGTAACCATCAAGGTACACGGAAATTGCACAATAAACCCACAACTGGCTGCATGTGTCCAGGTTCCACTCTGAGCTGAACGGATCTCCTACTCACCAGGCTCTCGGTCCTTAGCGGATATGCATTCTTTTATGGACTCTGTTATGCCAAGACTAGCTGCAGTGGGCAGCGGGCCGAGCAAGGACTCTAGTGCGGGTGGTCTTACAAGAGCTTCATTTCCATTTTTGCATTTCCCATCTTCATCTGTTTTTGCTCTATCCTTCTCATGAAGTTCATTATAAAAGTCCTTGTTTAAGTGATTAGCAGCTGCTTCCAGTTCCTCATCTTCTGCCTCCTCCTCTCCCAGTATGCTAGAGGTACTATCATCTATAGGATCTGTAAGAGAAAAAAACCCCAACAGATCATTGCATACCATCTGTTACAGAAACTAAATAAATAGACAGGCGCTCACTTGAAGAATAAAAATCTTTACAGAAAATCTGTAGAAGTAATACACAATATTTTAGTACAATGTATGAATACATGGAATTTCCAGATGCTCTTCAAATTCATTACCTTAGCTATTAAAATGTATTTTTGTGAATACAGTCATCATTTAAAATAGAAATATTGTGTTGCCAAATTAAGGCAGATAAAAGGGCTTTGAGAGAAAGCGGCTACTTACTGGCATAATTACAAATAAAAAATAGCCAATTTAACCTGCACAAAGCCCTTCTGTATCGATTAGTCAACTGGGGGATTCGGTGAGAGAAGGGTCTGGTCCACTGCACTTTCTGTGATGAAAAGGAACATGCTCAGGTGCCACTGCCAAGCTTATACTGCACCAGGAAAGAAAAACAACTGAAGTCATTAATGAACTGTCACTGTAATGAACAATGTAGGTGTTTGGAAGACTGATACTTGAACCAACTAAAGGACAGAGAGAATCCCAACTCAATAGAGATCTTGTACTATGGAAGCATACATATAGAATCATAGAATCATTTAGGTTGGAAAAGACCTTTAAGATCATCGAGTCCAACCGTTAATCTGATCCCATTTATCACAATAAAGTTCATACACTTAAGACCGCCTGCAGGATCTCAACCCATTATCATTTAAGTAGCTGTAAGACTTTACAGACTTACCATCTTTAGTGAAATTTGCAAATACGCCTTTTGCTTTTGGTCTACTGTTTTCTAATTCAATCTCTATTTCATCTTGATAGCTCGATATTTCACCTGTGGTGATGAAATAAAAATAAAACTCAGCAATCATTGATGTAATTTTGAACAAATGAGTGATATGTTACACTAAACACAACTTATACCTTCAAAATCTTCCAGCTTTTTTGATAACGCCTTCTCAAGCTGAAATGAAAATAAACAAAATAAATGTGAAATTACTAAAAGAACTCAACTTCGTACTCTTTGTGAACTGTAGAGACATAGAATCATAGGGTATTTTAAAAGCAATAAGCAGGTTTCAAATCCCAACTCAAATTACTTTGTAGTGTCAGGCAGGTAAGACAGACAGGTTTCAAAATACCGACCGATTTCAAATGTTCTCTCACCCATCTCTATACTTCAAAAGGAACCTTCACTCTGGCAAGCCGTAAATAAAAGGCCCCATTCCGCAGTCAGCCCCTATGACTGCGCCTGTAGACGCGAACAAGCGCAAGGACAGCGCTGCAATCGCAGTGCCTGGGCCAGACATAGCACACAGGTGATGGCGGATTCAAGTACTGACCTAGAGCAGCCTGCAGGCTCTTGAGAACATTATAAACACGCCTACAGACCTTTAAATGATAGCATATTTAGAGCAGTAAAAACAAAAACCCAGAAAAACTAATAATGAAAGAATTGGCTATGACGGTAGTAAAATCTCCTCTGGTGCCAGCTTTAGTTCATGCTTTGCAAAGAAATTAAGCCACCTGAGAACTAAGCTCTGTGGAAGCAGGTGTTGTACCACGCAAAAAACCCAGCAGTCTCATTAAAGCACCTGGGTTATTGTTTTCATATACGTTTAAAAACAAGTTCTATGTAATGGCACTTCTCCTGACCATGAGTATCACCTCAAAAACACCGCGTGGTTCCTGATCCCGTTACAAAGCTTACACCTTTGCAACCCTGATCCTTGCTAACCAGGGTGGAAGGGTGCTTGCAGCATATAAAAGAGAAGCGCAGACATTAGGACAGCTGCTCAAGACCTCCATGCCACAAGCTCAGCTTAACTTGTCACATGAGAGCCTCCAGTTTTTTAAGGACAAAAAGACTTGATGCTTCGATAGAAGGTCTAAGCACAAGAAGGGAAACACACATGCATCGGGAAAGTAAGCCTGAAGGAGAGAACAGTGCTTAGGATCACTGCACCAGCTTGCAAATGGGGGAACGCGTGGGCAGAGTGTGCTGAGCCCTCACCTACAATGCAGCAATCGTGGGCTGAGCACCAAACATTGGTAGCCTGCAAAACACGAAGCTCAGCTGGTGCTTTTACTCGGCCACCCAGACGTCCCGATGTGCACTATAGCAGTGACTCTGCACCTCCCGCAGCGGCTGGCTAAGGCGGTAGGCACACTTCAATCCCTCATCAGGGGATGTCTAAAGCTGTATTTGAAGCTACATATCTGAAAGAGCACGTCTCTCTGGAGGAGTTAGCAAAAATGATATAGGAGAAAAACTTTTTTTTTTTTTTTTTTACCTGGGAAGCTATGCCTTTGCCAGCGAAACAAAAACATATCCTTTAATTAATGGGTATCATATGCACTAATGCTCACCTTCACTTAAGAACCTCAAAATAAATGTAACTAACCCTTATCAAAGGCTGGTCAGTTAGGATTTAGTATTAACTGATTCAAAAAGGAACATACAGAGGGAGGAGAGAGGAGAGAAATATAAAGAGCATCTGGTTCAGAATTCACCTGCTGTATCTTCAATTTTTTTTGACCAGCTGTAAACGAAGGAGGATCACATTCTTCTTCCAAGTCAATCTTCATAAACTCATCTATAGTTAGCTGACTTGTTGGTGTATCTTCAAACTCTGTCAGCCTACCAAAGCATACAGTACATTACCATAACATCTTTAAGAACTTCTTTAAAAGTAACAAAATTCAGCAAACTGCTAAGTTACAGAATAAACATGTCATCCTCAGAAACTCTGGCTCAAATACAGAATACATTAAAACTGAAGTGGCACTAATTGTTTCATCTGTTGCAAAGAAAGTATCTTTTCATATCACAAATTAGCTTTTGATTTATTAGAGTATGTAACACACGCTTTTTTTGATGAACAAAGACTGAACAGAAATACGGCAGCCACTAAGGTCAACTAAGTATAGACTGACCAAACGAAGCCAGGAAACGCAGCTGATTCCTCCTGTCTCGTCGCTTTTGTTATCAACACCACCAATTAAACAGGTTCCCAAACTAAAATATCTGCCATCACAGTTTAGGAGTAAGCTCAAAAATATTCCTGATATGTTACCGTGATTAATTTATGCAAATCAAATGTTAAAGACACATATCTTCAGCAGACTGGAAGAGGGACAAGAAGTAATCTTCCCCGGACACACAGAAGCAGTTGTAAAATAAAGGCATCATCTGCACATTGCACAGGCGGAATAGATGAATGCATGTAATTTTACAATAGTATACTTTGTTTTTGTTTAATGTTCGCATTTTAAAAGTTCCTACCTGCGCAAGAGACAGGACTAGCTCCATGGGGAACTGCCACAAAAGCAGCTGAACCTTTCAAAGGAACTGAATCTTAAATGAGACCACATTGTCATAACTTCATCCACAAATTTCAGCATTTCATACAGGTGGTTGAGAATGAGCACATCCATTTTACAGATGGAGAAAGCGAGACAAAAGGTTAAGTACAAAGCCAGGTCAGGAAATGTCTGGCAGAACGCTTTTCTGACAGAAAGTGCCCTTTTAATAATATCAACATTTTCCATGGGAAAACGGCAATGATGGATCTGCAGCTGCTTCACTGGAATATTCCCATCTTACAGAGGAAGCAAAGCTGACAACAGCTTCCATCTGCAAAGCTAGGAAACTAAAACTGGTGATTCAGTACTCCCAGCACAGGACCTTTCAGCATCTCTCCTCCCCAAAATGCAATTGTGGTTTTTCTCTTTTGCCTCCAATTGCAACAAAACTCCTTCCGAAGGAGGAATTTTCTCTAGGACAGAAATTCAGTTTCCAACCAACTCCAGGGCCAAAGCCAAGAGCATAATGCCACACTCTCTCCCGATATCCTTATCAGTCCCTGTATTTCTTTTTTGAGAGATCATACAGCCCATACCAAGGGACGTAGGCATGCCGTAAGTTCAGGACGCTCTGCCTGGAGGCACCCAGCTCGCGGAGCACTGTTCACGCCACACGTGGCATCTCATGCCGTGAAATGTGCAGGGAGAGCCAGGCAGCTCCGCAAAAAACCAACAGCAAGCAGCACGCTGAGCCCACGCACGGCTGTGCCGGCCAGAATCAGTGCTGCCGAGGAGAAGAAAGCCTCTGAAACCTAGTCTCACTTTTGGAGTTCAGGCATCTCCACAAAGCCCCAAATTAGCCATGTATTTGGAGTGACTGACAGCCCAAAACTTTCCCTCAGAGTACCAGGGACCAGCTCCCTCCTCCCTTTCAGATCAAATTGGAAAGGAGAGGAGGATGTTGTTGGCAGCAGCAGCACCCAGCTTTTAATTAACAGACTAGAACTTTCTCAGCGTAAACGGGCTTCCAGTGTGCATTACCCACCTTCCAGGAGGGAGCCTCATCTATCAGGCTAGAGGAAAAACCTGGCTAGGGTATTGTTATTATTATTTTAATTCAGGATTCATCTAATGCCAAATCCATACATCACTTTAGGATCTTCCCAGCTACCATCATTAAGCTACAGTCATCCATCTCTTCGTGTATGAATCATGCGCTCACAGGTAGTCCCACTTCAGCAAGACTTTTCATAGAATCACAGAATCACAGAATGGGTTGGGTTGGAAGGGACCTTAAAGATCATCTAGTTCCAACGCCCCTGCTGTGGGCAGGGACACCCTCCACTAGAAGGTTTTCCTCCCAACCAGCCTCACCTCGTTAAAATATTATTTTCTTCCCACTGTAAAAAGCCAACACACACTTTGGCAAAGACACCCAGTTTATTTACCCCACACTTGCTCCGAGTTTGAGATGAGCAGCTAGACCCAGAGCCCAGCCAAAACAGCAACACCTCCAGGCATGCAGAGCAACACAGAAAGCACCCGTTGCAAAACTAGTCCGTGAAGCACGGTTGGGGATGAGATGACCAAGCTTGGGTTTCAGCACTTAACCCCATGCACGTCTCCTTGCGGACACCTGAGGCTCCCTCTATCCCTCTCCTTGTCCACCGTGTCGTGTGACTCACGTCACGTACCCTGCATCCATCAGACGTTAGCCCGTGGGTGAGCCAACGTGCCGTGGGTGAGCCAACGTGCCGGCAGCCGGCACGAGCTTCGGCTCAAGCACCAGCTGCAGCCCTGAGTTACAACGGCAGCACGGGTCTCTCTTAAGACCTTCAGTGCATCTGCTCTAGGACAGGGCAGAGCTACGTCCTGTTTGCTGGTGGTGCTACCAAGGAGCTCAAACCCACAGCACAGCATGGTTCAACCATCCGACCCAGCCACCAGCGCCCAGTCCCATGCCCGTGCCCTCCTCTTCCTCAGTCCCGATCCGAGCCAAACGAGGCCAGGGCTGACCACCTGGCGGGGAGGTGTAGGCACAGCCCGCTGGCAAAGCACAAATTTAGAGCGGCACATTATTTCTTCACATCTCACCGGTCTTAACCAGAAGGCTCTAGCCTTCCTCCTGAAATGAAGAACCATCCCCGATGGTCAGGATCACAGCTTGAGCGCCATCTCTGCGGGACAGCAAGCTGTTCACTCAACATTTTCTCCTTTAACTTGATATAAATAAATACCTGTGTTTGCCAACCACTTGCCTGCCTCAACATTTTACATTGGCTGATATCCTGTCTACATATTTTTAAACATTTCTTTAATTTTATCCAGTGTTTGGACACATGCCACCAAGGCAACAAACTGATGCACGCAGCAGTCTACACCGCATGAAACAAGGTAACATTCGTTTGGCAGCTAAGAAAAATGACGCAACCTTAATTACAAGCACAATAATTTCAGGGGCGAGGGAGTGCCCTCATGAAAAAAAAAATAAAAATAGCTACGGGCTATTATTAAGTCCCTCATAAAAATGATATCCAAGTTCATTTTGCACTTTTGTTAATCTAAATAAAAAATCTAATAAGAGTTGCCATTTCAAGTTATGCACAGAAGGAGGAAAATAAACAGATATAAAAATTAAGATATTATTTCATTGGCACAAATTCAAAAGGGCTCTAAAAATTGAAAATTGGCAGACAAGTATTTTCTATTTATAGTCGAAGCAGAGGCAACCACTACAGCTCAGGCTAAGATTCAACTTGCAGTATAAATCCTCCCCTTGCAGTTTCTCACAGCAAACTCTTTCAAGCAAATCCCCTTGGGAGAAAAGTTTTTCCAGAGCTTGGTGTCATCTGCCCCTAATCCCAATCCTTTTTTTTTTTTTTTAAAGAAAAATTTCCATGGCTTTTGTTTCATCCCTTTACAGACAAAACCACACCTCGCCTTCTGATAAAGCACTTCTGTGCACAAAACAGTGAACTAATTCTGTTCACACTTAATTTAGCTCCCAATAAGGGAAAATGGGTCAGTCATTTTGAAGTTATGAGCGATGGGGTTTTTTTCATTATTTTGTTTTGTTTCAGGGATACTGTCCCGTGGAGACTTACAAATCCAGTCTGCAGCCAAGGAAAAAAAAAAAAAAAAAAGACTCCCGTGTGCAGCTAGCCGCTCGGTTTTAATGTTTAATTGAAATTCTGCGGCAGTGGGGTGTGACAAAGCACGTGGAAGAACAAGGTCTTCTGGAGTCCAACTCACAAATGCTTCAGGAGTCCAAGTTCAAAGTCCAAGAGGGACTTCTGAGCACGGACCATTTAGGAAAAGCCCCAGTGGCCTCCACTCCCTCTTCAGAGGAGACAGGGAAAGCAGCTGAAACTGCTGGCAAAGCTCGGGGAGGAACAGAGATGTCTAGCGAGCCATACATCACCCTACAGTCCTCCTACGTGTATGCAATCGGCACCTAGCTCTAGAAAGCAAGCAGCGTAAAACAGAATCACCTTGTGCTGGACCACTGGACAGAAAGGCGTAATTTCAGAGACAACCGGGTTTTTTAAAGTGTGAACGTGAAATTTAGCCTGAGCAGTCAGCCTTTAAGTGACCTGTTGTGAGAGGTCTTTTTAAAACACTTAAAATAGTTTCTAAACGGATTTAAAAAAAACCCTAAACTGAATATTGACATGTTGTTAACAGAAATACATGAAAAAACTTTACTGCAAGATAAGCTGGTGGTGGTAATTAAATTCCCCTGATTTTTCCCAAATTAACAATACAATTAAACTCCTAAGTAATAATTTAGACGATATCTACATAATCTTAATTGTCATATCAATTACAAATATTCTAGCAATACAGCAGCTGATTTGACAACTGCAACATTTGCACATTTTGGAAAAATAAGGGATTTACTTTTGTACCTTAGTGAAGTACCAAAATATTTGAATACATCCCCACTGGTTTAATTTAACGTTCATCAGCGCTGCCTACCACTCTAAATCTGGGCACTCACTCAGAGCAGAGAAGTTCAGAAATTGCACTGATGTGGTGAGTTCATCACTAGTTTTTATACTACGAATTTAACAATCTATTGCATCATCCTTCTCTGCCCATTTTTTTCCAAGCCATATAATGTTTATGCATGAACTATTTATGGCGGTATGTAAACACATACCCTAAAAGTGATACTTAATACAGAACATGTATCGAAATAGCTACTAAATGCTTCCTATGTGACATAAAAAAAAGTTTTCCAGTATCCATCAGTATGTAAATAAACAGAAGTGTAATCTCCTTATATGTAACCACTGTACATATACATAATTTTACACGTACTTGCAGCAATGT